AGGAGGAGGAGGAGGAGGAGGAGGAGGAGGAGGAGGAGGACCCCCTCCCCCTCCAACTTATGGTGGTGGTGGTGGAAAACACGCCCATCAAGCCCTGCCACAGGAGCCACTCGGCGGAGGCGCACCCTGCCACAAGGGGCCTGCGGTGGAGCACCCAGGCGGGGCGGCGGAGCGCTTTGCGGGGTGTGCCGAAAGGGGCGGGGGGGGCTCGTGCGAACCGTGCCACAGGGCTGAACCTTCGCGGTGTTTTTCGTTTTCGTTTTGTTCCCGTTTTCCCTCATTTTGTTTTCCATCCGCCTTCAACGCAAAACGAAAGCGAAACGACAACGGCCCACGGAATCGCCAAGAAACCGTTTCGATCCGGCCTTGCCGTGCCACTGGGGACATGGGTGGAGCACATAGGGCCGCGAAACGTGTGAGGGGTGGGCCGACATGTGCGGGGTGACGCATGCGGACCCTGCCACTGGAACCTTCGGTGGAGTCCCCTTGTGGGGCCACGCAACGTGTGAGGGGTGTGCCGAGGCAGAGACATGCGAAGAGCAGGGGCAGGCATGGGAGAAGGGAGGAGGAGAGGAGAGGAGGAGGAGACGCGGGACGCTGCTGATTCCAAACGAATACCAAACACCACAGGATGGTTGTGGAAAAAAACAACGGACGTGGGAGGTCTCGGTCCCATGCCTCCCGTTGTACCCACTGATCCCCCTCCTCATCCTCCCGCGCACCCGACCCTCGTCCCTCTCATCCTCCTAGTCCTCCTTCGCCTCCCTTCCCCCTCCTGCTCCGCAGCCGCCTCCGCCTTCGCACCCTCATCCTTCGCATCCACCCCCCTTGCAAACCTCCTCGTCGTCCGCCACCGTCTTCTCGCGAGTGGGCTACTTCCGCCATCATTACCATCATGCTCGTCTAAATCGTCATCAACACCATCATCACCACGAGAACCAGCAGGATCCTCATCCTCTTCGTCGTCGTATCACAATATTCATCGTAGTCGTCATCATCGTCATCGTAATCATCGTCGTCCTGCTCCACCTCCTCCACCTCTTACACTATGACTATGATAATGGTTATTCGCGACGTATTCGTACTTATTGTTAGTAATATTATCATGGTTCCTTGTTTCACTCGTGTTATGTGTGAAAACGTTCGTCGTGATACTACGAGTATTCGACTTACTATTTCCCCACATCCTAAGTGGGGTTCTTGTTTTCTTTGCACACCCTCCGCGCCGGATCTCCTCATCCTCCCTCTCCTCTGCTCCTCTTTGCTTCCTCCTCCGCATCATCATCACCATCATCATCACTCCCCACTCATCATCATCATCATCATCATCATCATCATCATCATCATCATCATCATCATCATCATCATCATCATCATCATCATCATCATCATCATCATCATCATCATCATCACCATTAGCATCACCATCACCATCCCACGATCACTCACCATCATCGGCATCGAACGATCATCATCATCATCATCATCATCATCATCATCATCATCATCATCATCATCATCATCACTTCTCGCTGACTTGTGGCCTGAATATGGAGGAAGTATCAGGCGGGAGCCTCGTCTGTGAGTGAATTGTGAGGAAGTCTCAGGCGGGAGCCCCCTCCCTATGGGGCCCGCAGATCATGTTACTAATCCGAGCGGGTCATCGGATTCCTGTAACTGTCGTCACTTTTGGGCTCCCCAGGTCTGAATTTGGAGGAAGTATCAAGCGGGAGCCTCGTCTGTGAGTGAATTGTGAGGAAGTCTCAGGCGGGAGCCCCCTCCTTATGGGGCCCGCAGATCATGTTATTAATCCGAGCGGGTCATCGGATTCTTGTAACTGTCGTCACTTTTGGGCTCCTCAGGTATGAATTTGGAGGAAGTATCAAGCGGGAGCCTCGTCTGTGAGTGAATTGCGAGGAAGTCTCAGGCGGGAGCCCTCTCCCTATGGGGCCCGCAGATCATGTTATTAATCCGAGCGGGTCATCGGATTCCTATAACTGTCGTCACTTTTGGGTTCCTCAGGTTTGAATTTGGAGGAAGTATCAAGCGGGAGCCTCGTCTGTGACACCAGTCCTTTTGTGAGAAAGCGGTTCAGGGCGGGAGCCCCCTCCCTATGGGGCCCGCAGATCATTGTTACTAATCATCGAGCGGGTCATCGGTTCTGACGTCATCGTCACTTCTTTGGGGTCTCAGGTTTGAATTTGAGGGAAGTATCAAGAGGGAGCCTCGTCTGTGAGTGAATTGTGAGGAAGTCTCAGGCGGGAGCCCCCTCCCTATGGGGCCCGCAGATCATGTTACTAATCCGAGGGGGTCATCGGATTCCTGTAACTGTCGTCACTTTTGGGCTCCTCAGGTTTGAATTTGGAGGACGTATCAAGCGGGAGCATCGTCTGTGAGTGAATCGCGAGGAAGTCTCAGGCGGGAGCCCCCTTCCTTATGGGGCCCGCAGATCATGTTATTAACTGTCGTCACTTTTGGGCTCCTCAGGTCTGAATTTAGAGGAAGTATCAAGCGGGAGCCTCGTCTGTGAGTGAATTGTGAGGAAGTCTCAAGCGGGAGCCCCCTCCCTATGGGGCCCGCAGATCATGTTAATAATCCAAGCGGGTCATCGGATTCCTGTAACTGTCGTCACTTTTGGGCTCCTCAGGTCTGAATTTGGAAGAAGTATCAGGCGGGAGCCTCGTTTGTCAGTGAATTGCAAGCAAGTCTCAGGCGGGAGCCCCCTCCCTATGGGGCCCGCAGATCATGTTACTAATCCGAGCGGGTCATCGGATTCCTGAAACTGTCGTCACTTTTGGGCTCCTCAGGTCTGAATTTGGAAGAAGTATCAAGCGGGACCCTCGTCTGTGAGTGAATTGTGAGGACGCGTCAGGCGGGAGCCCCCTCCCTATGGGTCCCGCAGCTCACGTCCTCTGGGTCGTCCTCCGGCGCGTATCGGCTGGGACGCACGTCGTGCGCTTCCTCTGGGTCGTGTTCCGCACGAGGACGAGGAGGAGGAGGATTGCCAGGAAAAGGAGGAGGGATGATGCAGGACGAGACAGGAAAGCAGGAAGAGGAAGAGGCTGAGGGGAGGAAGGACGAGGAGGAAAAGAAGGAGGAGGAATGCTCGAGGAGGCCCCAGTAGGTCCCGAAAGTCCCAGAAGGCTCCAGGAGGCCCCAAGAGGCCCCAGGAGGCCCCAGGAGGGGGCAGGAGGCCTAAGGAGGAGGCAGGAGGAGGAGGAGGAGGGGGGGAGAGGAGGGGGGAGGAATATGGAAACGAGGAGGAGGAGGAGGAGGAGGAGGAGGAGGAGGAGGAGGAAGCGGATGAGGGAGAGGGAGAGGAGGAGGACAGGGGATGAGGAGGAGGAGGAGGAGGAGGAGGAGGGGAGAGGGAGAGCAGGAGGAGGAGGCAGGAGGCAGGAGGGGCAGGGGGAATGGGGGGGAGAAGCATAACGAGGGGGAGGGGGAGGAGGTGGAGGAGGCAAGAAGAGGAGGAAGAGGCAGGGGTTGAGGCAGGAGGAGGAGCAGACAGGAGGAGAACGAGGAGGATAGAGTAGGTGGGAGAAGGGAAGGGGCAGGAGGATACCCCCATGCAAGCTAAAGAGATTTTCATGTGGGGTCCTTCCGTCGGAGTAATTTATTATGGCTACTAATATGGTATTAGCTCTTGTCAATGTTCGGCGTACACGTCTTCGGATTAAGCATCAGCATCAGCAGCAGCATCAGCATCACCATCACCATCACCATCATCATCATAATCAGCAGCATCAGCATCAGTATCATCATAATCAGAATCATAATCAGCATCATCGACATCAGTGTCATCACCATCAACCTCACCCTCACCATCTGCGTATCGAACACTTCCTCTCCCCCTTCCTCGAGTCCTTCATCATCACCATCATCATCATCAGCAGCAGCATCCCGCGTCCTCATCTTGACCCCCATCCCATTATCATCATCAGCCTTCGCCTCATCATCAGCATCAGCATCATGATCACAACCAGAAGAATAACGACCGACACCGCCCTCCTCGCCCATGCTCCCTCCTGATTGCTCGTACCACCCTCTGATCGTCCTTGCCTCCTCTCATCCATCTGCTGCTCGTGCTCATCGTCGCCGTCGTCGTCGTCGTCGTCGTCCTGCTCTTGCCCCTCGCCAAGGAGACCTCCAGAACAGCTGGCCCCGGCCGCGCCCTCGGCCTCGGCCGCGATCGATC